CCCCAAAACCCCAAAACCCCAAAACCCCAAAACCCCGTTTCATAAGTTTATGATAGACTTATGTTAGGTTTATAATAATAAAATGGAACAGAAGGATATAGGTCTGGGGGGAAAGATAGAGCAAGTGGTCAGGTGAGAGGGGTGGAGAGGGGGTGTGGGTGTGGAGGGGAAGGAAAATTGGGTGAGAGATTCTTGCTTTCTTGGGTTGGGGCTTGGGGTATTATTGATATGAATTTTAGAGACTATTTATATTTGTGCGACTATTTTGTGGTAAAATATTATCCTTAAAATCCTTGAAATTTTAAACATTGACTTCTTTACAAGTCTATTGCACTTAACTCTGCTTATTATCCTGAATGCTTAGGTATCAGACTTAATTTTAGACTTATAAAAAAACCTAATTGCCGGTTGTAACTTTCCTGAATAATTCTGATGTAAAAGAGCATCCATTGATATGCCTTGTTTAATTTTATAGTCTAGAGAAGTCTCTATTGACCAAGAGCAAGAATCAAGACTATAAATGATGCATCAACGCTCACTATAATATTTTTGCAAGGGAAATGCAACCTAAACTAATCGACTCAATATCTGGAAAAGAATTGAAGTATGATAAATTTGTGACTTACTATGGAGATGTGAAATTTCCTAAAAAGTTAAAGTTTATAAAGATATTTGATTCTAAAAAGACATGATTATATAATGCCAAAAAGAGAAATAAGCATTATTTAGATTTCATAAAGTTCTCACCTCCAGATAAGACTGATACCCTTTTAATTCTTTCTCCATCTAGAGCAAAGTTGAATAGAGCTACTTACTTTAACTCAATAATCAGGCTCAGTTCCAAAGTTATTCAAATTGCTGAATTTAGTTTCTTTTGCCTAAAAATTCACCAATTAAAAAGATTGATAGCATCTTTCAGACATGTAAATCAATTAAATCTCAGATATTGCACATTATCCATCCCAAAAGCTCCTGATCTTTCAAGAGCTCTCTCAAATTGCCAGATTCAGAAGATGAATTTAATAGGATCAGGAGACTTTGAGCACAGCAATTGGGAAAACAATCTTGAAGAATTCAAGAACTTCATAAAAGGCTTGGCAAGTTCTTCAGATTTAAAATTAAGTCTAAGAGCACTAAACACTAAAAGTTGTGGAATATCAAAAAGTAAAGCAAAAGGAATCTTAATAGAAAATCAACTTGAAGGAGTTAAAATAATTTATTATTCTTAATTTTATACCAAAATCACTGTTTACTCCTTTTTTATGGAAAATTCACTTCTAATTCTCCATTTAACATTAGGTAAATTTCAATTCTATTTCTCAACGATCCGCTTATTTAATTCTTTCAATTTAAAGCTTAGTTATGGGGTTTTGGGGTTTTGGGGTTTTGGGG